GCCATGTCGGGTACCCACCAGTCGTTTCCGCTCGTTCTTGGCTGCACTGGCTGATTCGGGTGACTGTAGGATGGTCACAGTGAGGCCTAAGAGGGCTGCCGGCCCCCAGCCACGGAGTCCGGCCCCCGGTGTGTCCGCCGCCGTGGCGAGCAGGTGGAGTCGCTCAGTGTTGAACCGCAGACGCTGCGAACGGGCCAGCTGCATCGCCTCCTCTCGGTCGACATCTGCAGATAACGAACGTGTTGTGGTGTGTTGTGTTGTGGATATGGTGCATGAGGCGGGCTCACCGACTCACCGAATGTGTCTCCGTCTTTGGTGTGTGTGGTGTGTTGGCCCTGGGGGTGGTCGCTGCGCTGGGCCATCTCCGCCTGGTGGGTGAGGGTGCCGAGCAGGTCCTCCACAAGCGATAGACGCAAAGACGTGCCACTGCTCACTGACCTGCAATGTCAGCCCGCCCCCCCGTGTGTCTTTGGATGACATGTGAATCCGCCCACCAATCTATCTATCTATCAAGAGTGGGTACTGACTTGTATGCATTCTTTTGCTGCTGGAGCGCCTGTACGGCCAGGCGGATGTCAGGGACACCGAAGAGCACACTGACATACAGACAGACAGCACATAGAGTGAGGCAGGCATTGTGGTGGGATGGGTGGGAAGCTAACTTGGTGATGGCTCTAAGTGGCATCTGTGCGATCTCGTGCGTGAGTCGGCTGCCCGCACCGCCGCTCCGCACAGCATGCGACAGCAGATGCTGGCCAATGACACGACACCCATCACAAAAAGAACCGTGTGTGTGTGGACGTGCACGATATGCTCACGGACCTTCCCAGCCTGCCGAGATATCTTCAACGCCTGAATACATACGCACATGAACAGGCATACACATACACGTGGAAGAAAGGACCTTCGCATCCAGGCGATGCTCACCTGCTCCAGCCTCAGTCGTGCCGTGTGCAGGTCGCCTTCGATGGTCCCCACGGCCGCCAGGGACGCCAGCATGACTGTCTGCTGCAGGGGGTCGTCCGTCTGCTCGATGACCTCGGTCAGAACATCACGCGCATGGCCGCCGTAACCGCTATAGCCATATATCACAGACATCAACCTGACACACCGACACACAGACAGAAGGGGCGACGGAGAAAACATCCGCCTTTATCTCTGTCTGCCTGCAGGTGCTTACTTGCCCATGGCTGCGGCCTTCTTGACATCACCGAGGCCATAAGCCGCCACCTGGGCCTCCTCCACACAGGCCAACGCTGCACACACTCACACGCATGGATTTCAATGGGTGGAGGGGAGATCTGCGATGACGCCATCCGAGCACGAGCCTACCAGCTGTGTAGTCGTGCGTGTACAAGTGTTTGAGTCCGTTTGTGAGTGCGTTGCAGTAGATGTGGAGGTGCTGCAGCGCCTCGGGAGATGTCACCTCGTGGTACTCATGCGACAACAGATCATGCTGATGGTGCGAACCACGACGCATCCTGGCGCACCACACCCTCCGAGGGTCGAAGGGGAAAGTAAGCCCCGCGAGGTTAACGAAAACCGAAAACAGCGAGTTGGGGTAAACGACCGCTATATGAGAAGCTGGCCACACCGCCTGGCCCGCAGCGAGGGTTTCGCCCGGTCGTTATTTGCGAGCTTATCAAGATCTGACGGCGTTGATGGTAGATAGATGGGTGGAGGCGCGAGAATGAGCCGCTGTGGTGATACCATGGCGGAAAGGTACGAACGAAGGAGAAGGAATGGGGGATGAATGCGATGCACAGGATGGAATGTATGGATGTGTTTGCAACTCGCTCAGCGCTGCTGTTAGTCCTCCTCGTCGGCCTTCATCACCTCGTTCCGCTCGTCCGATGCATTGTGACGCTGAGGTATGCGCACGCACATCCGAATGAGTGAATGAACGGATGGATGGATGGATGGATGGCCGGATGGAGGGAGGGAGGGCGGGAGAATGGGCATCATGATCGCGTGACTGTCTGTTGCCGGATGATGCCTCTGTGTGTTTCTGTGTGATGCAGCCGAGGTATGTGATGTGCGTGGGGAAGAGGCTAAGCCGGCACGATGAGATGACGGTCTATCCGTCTTCCGTTCTCCACCCATCACTGCCGTGCTTGGTTGCTGCAGGCTATCGCATATCGTCGTTCTCGAGATGCGCACCGGGTGAGTGAGCCAAGAAGCGACTGCCAGTCAGCAATCCTATCCTTTAAAGGCATGCAGGCGGACTTATCCGTGTGTGTGTGTGTGTGCGTGTGTGTGTGTGATGTGACGTATCGCCGTCAGTTGCGTTCATCCCTTTCGGTCTCAACGACCGTGTGGTGGCCGCGCCGTCGGTCCTCAACTGGTGCCGGCCCTCACACTGGGCGGCGAGGACGGCCGGACTCAACAACGGCGGTCTTGGCGCATTCTCAGACCGGGTGTGGCAAGCCCAGCTGGTGTTTGAGCAGAAGCTGAAATCAGAGAATGAGCGGGGCAGGGGCAGCGGCAAGGGCAAGGGCAGGGGGCGGAGGCGACGCATGGCCAGGGCCGTGCTGAGGCGCACCATATGACGGACGGACGCACGGATGCTTTCCGCGCTGATTGATAGTTTTGCTAGACGTGAGCGACTTTTTTGGTTTGTTGGTGAGCTCTTTTCGTATGTGTGAGTGCGTGTGTGTGTGTGTATTTGTGTGAATATGGTTGGCATTTGGCGTCGAATCACGCAGCTGAGCACTCCCGGATAAAACATCTTGCTCCAAGGACAGCGAGGGAGATCCATCTATCCATTCATCCATCCATCCATCCGTCCATCCAGGACACACACACACAGCACGCATCAATCAATCCATTGGAATCAATCCGTACAAATAAAGAAACACGAAGGAAAACACCCGTACACACAATGTATACATAATACGTACATGGACACACGTACGTACGTACGTACGTATGTACGAATCATTTGTTCGGTCGTCGTATGCACATACATATATATCTATCTATCTACGCGGAGATATATAGCTAGATGGAATGAACGAATGAATGTCAAGACATACATAGGGAGGCGCGGAAGTGTATAAATGTCACTGTATACACCCACCCACCCATATGGACGCACCGCACGAACGTACGCACAAGCACCGACAGAGCGGGAGAGGCCCCACAGACGAGCTCCAAGCAGCAAGGCAGAGACGGATGGGTGGAGGGATGCCCTCCAGACGTCATACCCCAATGAATGCATGAATGAATGAATGAGTGAATGAATGGAGGCAGAGAGCCAGCTACAATATCAGACCAGTGTCAGCCCTGACCCCCAATTCCAATTCCACCCCTGCCCATCTCATCTACTCTACTGTCCACCCCCGTGCTTGCCATCTCTCCCGCCCCTCCTGCCCACCAAACACCATCGGATTCACCACCCTCACACACTTGACTCGCACACGTGCCAGCACCTCACTCAGACACCCGCACACGCCGACCACAGAGGGGTCACCAACACGCAGCGCCACACGCCCATCGCTCCCTAGCTGCAGCGCCTGGATTTCTGTTTCGGGGTGCCCGCACTCGTCGCGCAGCGATGCGCAGTTGGTGAGGTGGATGGAGAGGGAGCGGCCGGATGGGGTCCGTGACGTGGAAGACGTCCGTGTGTCGGCCGCGGCGCATCATCTCGTCTACGCGAAACACATCGTTGCTCGACGCCCAATCCACCACACGATCTGAGATGAGAACACACGGCAGAGGGAGAAGGTGTTGCGCTGCTCGCATTGGTCCCTCCCCCTGTGTGCGCCTCATTTAGTGCTCACTCCATTCCTCCATGGCGTCCTCGGCAGATCCCACAGGGGGTGAGAGAGTGGGGTTGGGCGGCTTGCCGTGATGGGTGTCGAAGCCGATGGTCAGTGTGGTTCCCGGGTGCTCGCCGGCAATGACATACCGCCCGACAAAGTCGCCATACACAAACAACTGAACAAACCACACACACAGACACTCCCCCCATGCACCCACCCGTTGACAGACCCATTCGCTCACACGTCTCGTCTCATGTGCTTACTTGCGTGTGGTGCGAGATGAAGTGGGATATGCAGGCCATGATACGAGCCTCCTCCGAGTCGCCCCAGCCCGAGTCGTCGCGCATGCCCGCAGAGCTCCTCAGCCCGTCACACAGCATCGCACGACGCCAGGACTCCTCAGGGCTCTCCTGCCCGCCATCGAGGGGGCGGAGGGTGGGCGATGATATATATATGGGGGCCCGGCTGGCCAGCTGCGCGACACATAGAGGAGGGCACACACAATCTTTCCCTCTCTCTCTCTCTCTCTGTGCGCGTGTGTGTGTGTGTGTGCGTGTGTGTCTGTGTGTGCGCTTAGCATTCGCTCAGCGCGGCGCTTGAGGTAGGGCAGCGCCAGCTTGATTGACCGCACACAGAGGTCCGTCATGTGGTGCCAGGCGTGGTTCAATGGAGTTCCGTTCACCTACACACACGCATCCATCAGAGGCAGGGATCGCCATGGATGCAGATAGGTGTCTGTATCTGTGTCTGGCTGACCGTCAGCCGATATGGATCGATATTGCTCCGCTCCAGCAGCCGGTTGGCCTCATCCACAAGTGTGTCCTCGATCTGACGCAGCCCCGCCAGGTCGACGGTGGCCTCGCTCCAAGGGACCCTCGACACCGCCAGCGCGAGGCTGTCCATGTCGCGAGTGATGCGCTGTGTGACCGCGGCTTGGGCCGCCCGAGGGGCCGTCACATGAAAGGTCGGCATGGCGTGGTTGCTGTTGGGGACCAGGGTCGGTTTCTGGATCTTGACGAAGGCGAAATCACGCTGGATGAGAGGAAGCTGCACAGAGGGAGGCACATACAACCGGGATGAGAATTCGTGGTTGCCTTCCCCTCTCTCTCTCTCTCGTGTGATGGCCTCCCTACCTTGTGTTTCAGGAACAGCGGGACCCTGCCAGCAGGTGGACCAGACTGGAAGGGGACGTCAAAGGTAAGCTGCTCGGTGTCGCGTCGTCTAGCCAAAACCCGCTTGCAGTCGTCAAACCATCCCGCTGCTGATGCGGCGTCTTCCACCCACTTACCAAGACACACAGAGAGGGAGGAAAGAACCAAATATGGGATCGGATCTGCACATGCATGCACGCGTGACGTGTGCTCACGAATCAGCTACCTGTGCTGGCACCGCCACGAGTCCGCTCGCGACTGCGCTGGTGACCATCTCGGCGGGGCCGGACGAGGAGCGGAAGCCCGTCAAGAAGGTGTAGAGGTAGATGGTGTCGGTCACGCACCACACTCGTGTTGTTCGGGATTTGTCGAGGGTCACGCGGAGGGAGTGGGTGCGCGGCCGCACGAGCCGCACCTCGTCCCCGTCCGGGTAGCAGGCTTGGTCTGAGAAGCCCTTGAAGAAGGCGTGGCGGAGACAGGTCAGCCGGTCGGTGTGCCCCTGGGGCTCAATGTAGCCGTGGGAGCGGTAGATGGTCGCCTCGATGTTTCGCGCCGCACTCTCAACCTGCACACACACGAAGATGGAAAGGACAGACGTGAGCAGCAAGCCAGAGAATGGATGTCTGTGTTGTGGGCGGCTTGCCTTGTCGAAGTCACCCACGAGGTCGCCGAGCTGCTCGGCGGAGACCTTGCCTTCTTCCCACGACTCGTAGAGTGCCAGGACGGTCTCGAAGTCCGCCAGGCCCCTCACGCCGTCGTCGAAGCTCGAGCCGTTGTCGCGGAGTCGCCTGGCGGTCTTGAGGGACCGGTCGAACGAAAGTGGGTCTCCGAGGCAGGCCACCCTCACCATGGGCGACAGGTAGCCGTGTGAGTGTGCGCAGAGGATGCAGCCGGCCCATCGGGGGTCGACGGGGAGGTTGTGGATGCTCCTGCCCAGCTCGCTGAGGGCAATGGTGCCCATATGGATGTCCTGCGTCACCATTCCCAAGTCGACCAGGCACTTGAGCGTCGTCCACAGGCCGTCGCGAGGGATGTTGTAGGGGAGTTTGGCAAAGATCTGCTCGATGGGCATGTGGCAGCCGACCGCCTGGCCCCCGGGCGCCCAGCTCGCTAATGAGAAACTGAGATGGATCACACTGGCTGATGTCAGGGTCGTCGTACATCTGCAGACATGGGTCGCATGCAATCCTATGACACTCTGTATGCATGTGTGTCCTTGTGGGTGTGGGCAGCGTGCCTGGAAGTTCTCGAGCTGCGTTTCGCTGAACAGACGGACACTCGTACCCGGCTTCAGGCGACCAGCTCGACCTGCACGCTGAACGGCCGACGCCTAATGACCACACGCACAGAACACGGTGATTGGTGTGGCTGAGGACAGTAACGGCCGGATGAAGGTGTGCGTGTGGGCTCACCTTGGATATCCATTGAAACCCTCGGATGAACATCTGTCGGGAGGGATCGAAGGCGTTGACGAACTTTCTGCCTGAGTCGACCACCAGCTCGAGATGCGGCAGCGTCAGCCCAGACTCGGCGATGGTCGTGGCCACCACAATCCGCCAGGCCTGCCCGCTGCCCGACTGCGTGGGGCCCTCCTCAAACACCTGCACGGGACGGCCAAGGGAGAGCGAATTCCACGGACGATCCGATCCACCTACGGGCCCGCTCGTACCTACCTGTTGTTTGTCGAGGCTGTCCATGCCTGCGTGGAACGGCATGACCTCAGCAAACAGGTCCTTTTCCTGACGCAATGCCAGCTGCAGCGCCACACACAGGGTCTCCGCTTGTGGGCGCGTGGCGACGAAGACCAAGCAACCACGGCGAGGGGCGCGGCGAGAGGGGGTGGTGTGTGTGGAGTCGACCAGTGCCGGCGCCTTGCGGATGGCCTGGACGACCGCTTGAGCGAAGCCGTGGAAGTATCCCTGTCGACACACACATAAATGAATGGTCTGTGGATGGTTCTCGTGTTGTGGAGGTTTTGTAGTCACTTGTTTCTGCAGCTCGTCTCGTGTCTTCTCGCACGCCTTGACCTCAGGGATGGGCATATACTGCACGTCCACCGGGAACACCGTGTCCATGTCTTGCTGCACAACACACAACACACATTAACACATACAACCAAGACACGCAAGACAGCTCTCCCGCAGACCAGACCCATGCATGGTTTCTATTGCCTTTGCTTCCCTCCCTCCCACCCTCACTAACCCATTCCATAGCACTAAAGGGCACGTCGCTTTCCTCAAAGAAGGACCGATATGAGTCGATGTCGATGGTGGCACTCAGCAGGATGACCACCGGCGCATCGTCGCCCAGCTCATACTTGAGCGACCGCAGCTTGTGGATGACCATGTCACTCTGGGGGCACCGCTCGTGCACCTCGTCGACTATGACAGCTGCCCAGTCCGCCGCAAGCTGCTGGGGGCTGGACGACGACGTCAGCCGCCAGAAGTACCTGCCAGCATGACATGCTCACACACACCAAGATACATGTGCAGATACAAACATGCCGGGCAAAAAATAAATACCCGCTCGTGGCGTAGAGGAGCGATGTTTCGTTGTCGTAGTAGGGGTGTGAGCCGATGGCGTAGCCCACCTCGCCACCAGGTCCATGGCCGACGCCTCGCAGCTCGGCCACAAAGCGGCTTTGCTCCTTGGCGAGCTCCCGACGAGGCACCAGCACCACCACACGCTTCTTGCTGCCCTTCTCAGGGCCGGTCAGGGCGGATGGCCGGTGGGTCTGCAGCCATGAGAGGGTCCACTGTGGCACCACCACAGTCTTGCCGATGCCCGTGGCCGCGGTAATGACGCAAACATTGCGCGACGAGTGGTTCATGAAGGCGTCGAACTCGGTCTTCTTCCGCATGGCAGGGAAGGATTGGACGAGGTAGTGCTTGTCGGCCCACTCGAGCCGGCGCCACAGCCCGCCCAGCAGGCGAGCCTGCTGCATCAGCCCACCGCCACCACCAGATGATGCCGCCCCGTCGACCTGCGCCAGGATGTCCTGCACCTCCTGCTCACACGCACTGTAGATGTCCTTGTTGGAGGCCGCCTTGTTGGCGTGTCCCTGACGGCGTCGCTCCGCCTGATGCCACGCCCGCCACAGCTCGGATGCCCGAGACTCCTCGGGGGGAGGCTGCAGGGCGTCGGGGAAAGTCTCGCAGCTCGATGGGTCCTTGACGATGAGGTAGTCCACACACACCTGAAAACTCAACCCAATATATGTTGGCAGGAAAATGGCACGGCCGGGTGGTGTGGGTCCCATGTGGTGTGCCCGTCTATATGATACCCACCTGCTCCTTGTGGACGAGGTAGAATCCGATGTTGGTCTGCACGCTGCCGCACCCATGGGCCTGCAGGGCCGCCAGGGTGCGAGTGTGGGGGACGCCCTGATAGGCGTGTCCTGGTGCGATGGAGAGGACAAGGCAGATGTCCTCCGAGACGACCGACGGCAGGCAGAGCGCGAAGAATCCCTCGATGACGTCGTCGGTCGCGAGGCTGACGTCGGGCCCGTCCTCTGCCAAAATGAGTGCCTCGTCGATGGACACACAGCCGTACTGACAAACACAGTCCACACACACACACACACAGCACACACAGAGAGACAGAGAGGCATCGCCGATTGTGTCGGCTCTATCCCCCTGCCGTCCTTGGCTGGTAGCTTACGAAGGCCGTTAGGACAATGCTGTTGTTTGCCTCATGATACGCACGGAAACCGCTTCGGCGAGCGGGCATGTTGACCTGAGCAGAGACGAAGACAAGACCAATCACTGGACGGTCCTGTGGCTGTCAAGCGCACCCCACCTGGTACACTTTTGGTCGGTGCGGGAACTCGCGGATCTCTGCCAGTCGGAGCAGCTCCGCATAGCTGGGCGAGCCGGGCTGCAGCTCCGTGTATGGCGGGGTGCTGTGCGGCTGTGGCACTGATGGCCGAAGAGCGGGGCTGGCGTGTTTGCGCATGTCATCCTCGCTTTTGATGCGCCGTGACATGGCCCGCCGGGCCATCTGCTGGGCTTTATCCCTCACCAGTGCCGTCAGCAGCTCGATCAAGGCCTGGGAGGGCTCCAGAGTCAGACCCTCACCCTCACCACCACCACCACCTGCATTGAAGGCACACACAGAACGTAGAAACGATGCCCCAATCTGCCCTGCCCAGTCATCCACTCACTCACTCAGCCACCCCACCCAGTGCTGACTGACCTGCGAGTGCGAGTGAGGATGGCGGGACGCTCTTCCATCCGCTGACGATGGCCTCACCATGGCAGCCCGCCACACTCGCCGCCGCACCTATCTCCTCAAACGACACACTTGGCTGCTTGCTGTCGTCACGCGCCAGCGCCATCAGGAGCTTGTGCTGAACCACAACCCTCACAGCCAGCATTCCCTTGCTGACATAATTATGCACACAGACACGACAGACCACAGACGGTGATTTAGGTACATATGTGATGCTGCACCCGCTTTGCTTACCCTGCAGGGACGTGCTGCATCAACGAGCTGAGGATGCGGGCGAGGGTTGGCTGCGTGACGCAATGCTGCCATATCTGACGCTCATCCCCAGCACTCGACACGCCCACCACACACGTCAGACTCTCACAGGGCACATACTTGCCACACTGGACGATTGACCCCAGCGCCTCCGCGAGCCGGCCCCCCAGGCGATACAGGTGGTCCCGGAGGGTGCCGGTGGCATCCACTTCGTCCATGTCCTGATCCTCCGCATCATCCCCCAGCAGCATGTTGCGAAAGGTCCCAACGGAAATGGCGACGATTCTGCTGGTGTGGCTGCCGCCGTCCCCCTCCCGCAGACGACTCGTGAGGGCTGTTGTGAGATCGTGTATGCTGGCATGGCCGAGTGTGGCGGTGCCGCACTGCCAGGGCACCACAAAACACACATAGGCAGTGGAGGTGACGTCGGCCGGTGAGTGCTGGTCGCCTGATCGGCGGCCCAAAGGGAACGGGGTGGCCTGGTCGTGTCGCACGGCCGCGCTGAGTGCCGATGGTGTCATGGAGAGGCTGCCGGAGGTCTGCTGGGTGAGCTCAGCACATGCGATTTCGAGATGCGTGGCCTGATGGGGCCCCTTCTTCCCTGCACACAACACACACACACAGCAGAGAGGGGAGGCGAGGCGAGGCAACAATGATTGTCACACACATCTGCCCAGTCTCCCTCCCCTCGGCCCATTCCTACCTCCAAAGTCACTCCACTTGTCAGATTCTGTGTTGAGTGCCAGCAGCACATAGGGCTCTTCGTTGAAGATGCAGACCAACAAGATGCCGGCACCCGTCCGCAGGTCTGCAGGCAGCAGCTGGCTGTACATGTGGCCGGCGTCGGTCTCGCCGTTGGTGTCGGCCTCATCCAGCGAGTCGGTTGTTGTGGTGGATCTGCTGTTCGCCACTGGAGCAGGACCACTGACACACACACACACACATCACACGACGTCCGAAGACGATGGCAGATGGGTCCTACGCCAACGTCACGCAGGTGTCGCTCACTCACTCACCTCATTTTGCAATACACCTCGTATGACACTGAGGAGAAAGACGGAGGGCTCGGAGTGAGGCTCGGCTGTCCAAGATCTGCTGTTCGCCACTCGATCTGCCTCCCGCACAAGGTGGCTCAGCTGGTGAGCTCCAATAATAACACACGGCAAGGCCAAGGCATCCTCCGCGCGTCACGTCGGTCAGCAGAGGCAGAGATCTGTGCTGCTTGAGGCGGGCTGGAGGCAGCCGGGCTATCAAATGACGAACAATGATACTATGGTTGCCACGACAAGCCCTCTGTATCTCTTCAACCACGCCAAAGGGGCAAAACCCAAGATTGCGAGCTAAGCTCGCATGAAGAAAGAAGGCTTTGGCGCCGGGAGATGATGGTGATGACGCAAGAAGAATGTAAGCACCACAGTGAATGACGCAAGAAGAAGGGGTGAGCGCGAGGGCTCACGTGACATGAGTTTGCTCTGTTGTGATCTTCCGTTCAGGAATCATTCATCTCCCATTGCTGACTCACACACCGCAGCCATGAGGCGCTGTCTGAGCTGAACGAGTCACTCCTTCCCATCCCCTACTTTCAGTCAAGTCATGTGGGGACCCTTCATCCGCGGCGTTGCGGTCGGTGCAGCGGGCTCCTTCGCCGTATGGTACTTCAGCTGGACATACTCATACGATGGAAGCAGCAGCAGCAGCAGCAGCAGCAGCAGAAGCAGCAGAAGCAGCAAACAGGAGACCCGCAGCCCACGCAAGGCTGACGAGCCACGTGCCGGCGACCAGCACAAGGATTCGTCTGCACCGGCTGGCAGCAAGACAGTTGTGGTTGATGTATCGGGCAAGACAGGCGAGAAGAAGGATACGGCATCAGCACCCACCAACACCAGCACCGACACCGCATCGGATGCTGCTGATAGTGATACCGCTGCGCCAGAAACGCCGACAGCAGACAACAGCAGTGTCATCCATCTCCCTGGGCCGACACTGGGGCGAGTGCGGGCACGGCTGAGCCGTGCCATCCACTATACCAGCGGCGAGGGTTCTTCGTCGATGAATAGGCTGACGAGGTACCGCGAGGCGTCTTATCTGACGGCGACGCATGGGATGCGGGCGACCAAGGTGCGCATGTACCAGTACCTGCCGTCCTTCATGACGCCCAAGAAGAGCCCGGCCAGCGGCGGGATCGGCAAGGGGTTCCTCATCTACAGCGGCATGAGCTCCTTGAGAGTGCTGAGGAGAAAATGGTAGCCCTGGGGTAGTGTGGAGTGCTGTCGTGTGGTGCGGTGCGGTGCAGTGCGGTGCGATGCGATGCGTCGGCAGTGCGGCAGTGAGTGGAGTGAGTGTATGTCTTTTTGGTGGATGTGATGGTGTGTGTATGTCATACATACATGTGTGTACGATAGACACAAGTGAGGGAGGGCGGGCGGGCGGGTGGGAGGGAGGGGCGAGGGAGGTGCAGTGCGTGCCTGTCTGCCTGTTTGTACTGTGCGTGAGAGGGTTTTAGCTAGTGGTGTCTTGGCCGGGTAGTAATGAGGAATGAATTGTCGGGTGTGTTGGCTTGGCTTGGCTTGGCTTGGCTGGCCGTCGTGTGGGTCAGTGCCTTGCGTACGTTTCTGCGTGTTGGCGGGTGGGGAAAAGCGCCTGGCCTGCGACGTACTGGCGCTGCGTGCACATCGGATCACTGCGGATGGACGAAATACTGGCCAGAGTCTCGACCCTCACAGCAACCTAGCCAAATACGAAGATCGAGATATCGTCATCAACAAGAATGATAGCGTTTTTGTTGGTTTTGCTGGCCCTGCCCTCTCTTCTGGCCACCGTTGCCGAGGAGTGCCGCGGTGCCGACTGCGAAACCATCGACTGGGGTGAGGTGAAATGAAATGGCAAATGGATGGAGATGAAGGACACATAGAGATGTATCGGATGGATGGATGGATGGCTGCAGGTGTTGGCCGCTCCTCCGTATCTGCTGTTGGCCGACACGATGGCATGGACAGCCATGGTGGGCTTGGCTCGGCTGATGCATCCTTCCCTTCTTGGGTCGGTTTCTGTGCAGTCGTTGTGGTGTGGTGTGTGCAGGTCTGCCGGTGGATCTGTTAGAGAGGCCGCTGCAGACGGCCGAGGTGCTCGTGGACGACGGTGCCAGCAGCCTCATCCACATCGCGGAGCACAGCTATGACGAAAATCAGCCCGTCGTGGGCGCGCGACCCCGCGGCCGCCCAAAGAGGACTGCCCACACGCCAACAAGAAGCGCGGCAGGTCCGGCGGCAAGACGGATAACATCCTTCGGCTCTTCCACTGGGTGAGTGGGTGAATGGGTGCGGTTTGCATGGATGGATGGATCTGAGCCGACTGGTTGGTAGGTATTTGGTGCCTGTCTGCTTCCTTGCGAGTGCGTTTCAGAATGTCGAGTGGCTGTTTTCCCCGCTGTCCCGGAGAGCCGAGTGGCAGACGTTGCCCGAGCAACAACTCGCGAAGGTGATGCAGTGCCCCGAGGACTGGTCGCCGGACGCCACCGAGTGCGTCACGCGACCCTTGTTCGAGGCTCTCGGCGGAGTGGCCAACGGGGAGCGCCCGGCGACCAAACACATGACAGTGTGCAAGAGCGCCGCTAGCCTCGAATACGTAGAAGGTGATGCGCACGACGGCTGCATGCGCCAGTGGAAGCGCATCAACGACGTGAGTCGATGGCTCAACTACTTCTACACCCAACTCGAGTTCGACCTGGTCACTTTCTCGGAGGTAAGCCCATTCGCTAGTCCATGGGGAGGGAGAAACGGATGGAACGGAGAGGTGCACTCTCTCTCTCTCTCTCTCTCTCCATCTGTGTGTCTGTCTGTCTGTCTGTCTGTGTTTCTGCAGCTGGATGGGTGTCGCAGTCTGTCGGATGTGCTGGCCTACTCTGGTTTGGACCAAGTTGGCTTCGATCCGTTCCATATCCAGGTACACGAAGTACCACAGGCACATCTAGTATCTCTTGCCGCTCGCTACGCAGGGTGGCGACTTCCGTAGCAACCAGCAGGTCGGCTTCGCATCGCGCATCAGACCTACCAAAGACCTCGTCACCAAGTAACAACACACCCTCCCACCACCACACACACACGCCCCCCAGCTCATCCCACCACAGCACATCCACGTCACATGTCTGTGTGGATGTGTGTGTGTGTCTGCAGGCTTGACGGGATAAAGCCGGGCGGATTCCCCGTCACACAGAACCCGATGTGTCAGAAGTACAAGGGCGTGGAGCGTGGGAAGGACTACGACTACAGCAAGATACCCGAGGGGATCGCTCTCAACAAATACGCCCGGATGGACATCAACGTCAACGGCCAGATGATCTCGGTCATCAACATCCACCTCAAGTCCATCCCATCGCGTAACCACACACACACACACACAGAGAGAGAGAGAGAGAGAGGGAGGGAGAGAGGTTTTCTCGTGTGTGTTCTGCAGACGCTAACTCCTGCATGTATCGAGAGGTCGAGGCCCGTATTCTCGACGAAATCATCGAGTGCGTGTGACGGGACGTGCACACACAGACCTGCACACACATACAACCAACGCACCGCACTCATCTATCTCCATTGATGTGCCGGTCTGCTTTAATTCTGTTGATGTCTCACGGCTTCCTCCCGGCCATGGCCACAGGAAGGAGATACCAGACCATCACGAGATCATCCTGGTGGTGAGACCGCCACTCACCCACACACACACGCACTACACACACAAAGACATCCGTACGGACATACGCGAATGCCGTGGTTGTTGTCCTTCATTCGCTCATGCAGGGGGACTTCAACGATTTCGACGACCAGGCCGAGGAGACGCGCGATGTCCGCCACATTGACGACCCCAAGGGCACGGCCCATCCCCTGCAGATCCCCTTCACCGGCTTCAACGCCACCAGCCCAACCGTGAAGCTCGGATACAACCCGGAAGACTACTTTGAAGAGGGCGAAATATCGTAAGGGAGGGAGGGAGGGATAAGGTCGGGAGGCTCTGGTGTGTTGTGTCTGCCTTTGTCAACAGACAGGAAAGACCTGCAGAAGGACTGGGCCGTCAGCTGGGTGTTCCAGATCATTCGCTATGGGGCCAGCGGGTACGTACGTCCGTGTTAATGCACGCAACACAGAGAGAGAGACACAACACAGAGAGAGAGACCCAGAGAGAGAGGTACGCATTCAATGCAATGCGTACATGTCTCCATCCATCCCTCCATTGACCTGCCTGCCCGGCCGCCTTTGTGTGTGTGTGTGTGTGTGTGTGTGTACAGGAAGCGTAAGGGCACCAACAAGGAGATGTGGTCCCTCACTCCGAAGATCCCCCAGGAGCAGCGATACTCATACATTTTCCGCGAGGTATTTATGTCTGCTTCCATGAAGGAGGGAAAGACAGACAGCAGACAGACAAAGGCACAACAGTAAACACCCGCACACGTGGATGTGACCTTGGTGTGCGTGTGTGTGTGCGTGTTCAGAGAGGTTCCCAGCTGGACCACATGCTGGTGTCGCGGAACCTGTACCACGCCGTGACGCGGTTCGAGATCCTCAACGACGAGGCCGCCAAGAAGGGTCTCCCATACATCCACGCCAACTTCGGCAAAGACCATCACAATCAGGAGTGAGTGGGGCAGGCAGGCAGGCAGGGTCATGCACAGCCGCACTCATCCATGTGCTGCTCTATGTGTGTGTGGCTGTGTGGTGCCTGTCCATCCATCCACCCATCCATATATCAGGAATCCGTCTGACCATTACCCGCTGTTCGCCGAGTTCGACATCGGCAAGATCGGTGCCACCGCCCAGAGGCCCGCAAAATATGAGGAACATCTGTTTTATTACAGAGAGAGAATAGCAGGGGAATATTTTGATAAAGAGGAATTGAAATACAACCGCACACACACATAATTGACAACCTAGACACAGGCAGGGGAGGGAGTACTTTGTTCGCGAGAGAGTGAGAGAGAGAGAGAGAGTGAGAGGGGCTAGGCAAGACACCATGGCACCGCGCGGGCCGGGGTAAGGGGCCCTAGGGGCTTTTAAACCATCACACCACACATGCCGTGCCATTGGATGGATGGATGGATGGATGGATGGACGCATGAGGACTGATGGAGGGACGTTTTCGTTTAACAAGGATCCCCACGACACACTCGCAATGTTCGGTACAAACGTGTGTGTTCATATATGACACACATACAATTCGTTCTCATTGCGCTCGTATGGTGGCACTGCTGCTGTTTTGTGATCTCACGTGAGTGTCACGATAGTCAGTTTGCAATGTGATTTGATCGGCCGGCCGCAAGAAACGAACGGATCACCTTGCCATTATGCAGTGACGCGGCGCCAGTCGAGTCACACGAGTGTGTGCTTGTCAGTCAAGCAATGAGTCAATCAATGATGGGTCATTGTCATTCGTTCATTCATTCATTCATTCATTCATTCATTCAGTGAATCACTGCATCACTGCAGATAACCTCCTGTGTTGCTTCGCTTGGGAGACGGCCGTGATCCCGGCCCGGCTGGCCACGAGATGAGGGTGGGTAGTGGGTCCTTACACTATGTATGGTCCGTCCAGCCGACCTTTGAGTGAGGCAATGGGTGGCCCACCCCAATGGCGGCTTGACAGCCTGTCAAACCGACATATGTATTGGCCATACCGTACATGCGCATTCATACACCCATGCACCATATATGTTTCTCCCCATACACTTGCGTACATGTACGTTTTTGCGTGTTGGCGAGTGGGGAAAAGCGCCTGGCCTGCGACGTACTGCCGCTGCGTGCACATCGGATCACTGCTGAACAAGAAGTGGACGAAATACTGGCCAGAGTCTCGACCCTCACAGCAACCTAGCCAAACACGAAGATCGAGATATCATCATCAACAAGAATGATAGCGTTTTTGTTGGTTTTGCTGGCCCTGCCCTCTCTTCTGGCCACCGTTGCCGAGGAGTGCCGCGGTGCCGACTGCGAAACCAACGACTGGGGTGAGGGAAATGAAATGGCAGATGGATGGAGATGAAGGACACATAGAGATGTATCGCATGGATGGATGGCTGGATGCAGGTGTGGGCCGCCCCTCCGTATCTGTGTTGGCCGACACGATGGCATGGATAGCCATGGTGGGCTGAGGTGGGCTTGGCTGATGCATCCTTCCCTTCTTGATGTGGTGTGTGCAGGTCTGCCGGTAGATCTGTTAGAGAGGCCGCTGCAGACGGCCGAGGTGCTCATGGACGACGGTGCCAGCAGCCTCATCGACACGGGCATGGACGCTGTCCGGCACATCGCGGAGCACAGCTATGACGAAAATCAGCCCGTCGTGGGCGCGACCCCGCGGCCGCCCAAAGAGGACTGCCCACTCGCCAACAAGAAGCGCGGCAGGTCCGGCGGCAAGACGGATAACATCCTTCGGCTCTTCCACTGGGTGAGTGGGTGGATTGGGGCGGTTTGCATGGATGGATGGATGGATGGATCTGAGCCGACTGGTTGGTAGGTATTTGGTGCCTGTCTGCTTCCTTGCGAGTGCGTTTCAGAATGTCGAGTGGCTGTTTTCTCCGCTGTCCCGCCGCGCTAAGTGGCAGACGTTGCCCGAGCAACAACTCGCGAGGGTGATGCAGTGCCCCGAGGACTGGTCGCCGGACGTCACCGAGTGCGTCACGCGACCCTTGTCCGAGGCTCTCGGCGGAGTGGCCAACGGGGAGCGCCCGGAGACCAAATTCATGCCGTCGTGCAAGAGCGCCGCTAGCCTCGAGTTCGTAGAAGGTGATGCGCACGACGGCTGCATGCGCCAGTGGAAGCGCATCAACGACGTGAGTCGATGGCTCAACTACTTCTACACCCAACTCGGGTTCGACCTGGTCACTTTCTCGGAGGTAAGCCGTCCATGGCGAGGGAGAAACGGATGGAACGGAGAGGTGCACTCTCTCTCTCTCTATCCATCTGTCTGTCTGTCTGTCTGTCTGTGTTTCTGCAGCTGGATGGGTGTCGCAGTCTGTCGGATGTGCTGGCCTACTCTGGTTTGGACCAAATTGGCTTCGATCCGTTCCATATCCAGGTACACGAAGTACCACAGCGCACATCTAATCTCTCTTGCCGCTCGCTACGCAGGGTGGCGACTTCCGCAGCAACCAGCAGGTCGGCTTCGCATCGCGCATCAGACCTACCAAAGACCTCGTCACCAAGTAACAACACACCCTCCCCACCACCACACACACACGCCCCCCAGCTCATCCCACCACAGCACATCCACGTCACATGTCTGTGTGGATGTGTGTGTGTCTGCAGGCTTGACGGGATAAAGCCGGGCGGATTCCCCGTCACACAGAACCCGATGTGTCAGAAGTACAAGGGCGTGGAGCGTGGGAAGGACTACGACTACAGCAAGATACCCGAGGGGATCGCCCTCAACAAATACGCCCGGATGGACATCAACGTCAACGGCCAGATGATCTCGGTCATCAACATCCACCTCAAGTCCATCCCATCGCGTAACCACACACACAAACACACACACACACACAGAGGGAGGGAGGGAGGGAGAGAGGTTTTCTCGTGTGTGTTCTGCAGACTCCAACTCCTGCATGTATCGAGAGGTGGAGGCCCGCATACTCGACGAAATCATCGAGTGCGTGTGACGGGACGTCCACACACAGACCTGCACACACATACAACGCACCGCACACATCTCCATTGATGTGCCGGTCTGCTTTAATTCTGTTGATGTCTCACGGCTTCCTCCCGGCCATGGCCACAGGAAGGAGATACCAGACCATCACGAGATCATCCTGGTGGTGAGGCCACCACTCACACACACACACACACGCACTACACACACAAAGACATCCGTACGGACACACACGAATGCCGTGTTGTCCTCTATTCGCTCATGCAGGGTGACTTCAACGATTTCGACGACCAGGCGGAGGAGACGCGCGATGCCCGCCACATTCACGACCCCAAGGGCACGGCCCACCCGCTGCAGATCCCCACCAGCGGCTTCAACGCCACCAGCCCAACCGTAAAGGTCGGATACAACCCGGAAGACTACTTTGAACTCGACGAGCGATCCGGCGAACTCGAAATATCGTAAGGGAGCGAGGGAGGGAGGGAGGGAGGGAGGGAGGAATGAGGTCGGGAGGCTCTGGTGTGTTGTGTCTGCCTTTGTCAACAAAAAGGGAAGACCTGCAGAAGGACTGGGCCGCCAGCTGGGTGTTCCAGATCATTCGCTATGGGGCCAACGGGTGCGTACGTCCGTGTTAATGCGTGCAGCGCAACACAGAGAGAGAGAGACGCGCCATTCAATGCAATACGTACGTGTCTCCATCCATCCCTCCATTAACCTGCCTGCCTGGCCGCCTTTGTGTGTGTGGGTGTGTGTCTGTGCAGGAAGCGTAAGGGCACCAACAAGCAGATGTGGTCTCTCACTCCGAAGATCCCCCAGCAGGAGCGATACACATACATTTGGCGCCAGGTATTTATGTCTGCTTCCATGAAGGAGGGAAAGACAGACAGCAGACAAAGGCACAACACTAAACACCCGCACACGTGGATGTGACTGTGTGTGTGTGTGTGTGTATGTTCAGAGAAGATCTCAGCTGGACCACATGCTGGTGTCGCGGAACCTGTACCACGCCGTGACGCGGTTCGAGATCCTCAACGACGAGGCCGCCAAGAAGGGTCTCCCATACATCCACGCCAACTTCGGCAAAGACCATCACAATCAGGAGTGAGTGGGGCAGGCAGGCAGGCAGGCAGGCAGGGTCATGCACAGCCGCACTCATCCATGTGCTGCTCTATGTGTGTGTGGCTGTGTGGTGCCTGTCCATCCATCCACCCATCCATATATCAGGAATCCGTCTGACCATTACCCGCTGTTCGCCGAGTTCGACATCGGCAAGATCGGTGCCACCGCCCAGAGGCCCTTCTCCGCCAGCACGGCAGCCAGCTGGGAAGAGCCCATGGATATCGACTAGACTAACTACCACACACACACATAATTGATAACCTAGACACAGGCAGGGGAGGGAGTACTCTGTTCGCGAGAGCAAGAGAGAGAGGGAGAGAGAGGGAGGGTGAGAGGGGCTAGGGAAAACACCATGGCACCGCGCGGGCCGGGGTAAGGGGTTTTAGGGGCTTTTGGACCATCACACCACACACGCCACGGTTTGGACTCACGTCATAAATGGATGGATGGATGGATGCATGAGGACTGATGGAGGGACGTTTTCGTTTAACGAGGATCCCCACGACCCACTCGCAATGTGCGGTGCACACGTGCGTGTTCATATATGACACACATACACATAGGGCCTTCCCTTCCTGTGGTTCCTTCCTTCCTCCTATGCTGCTGTCCTGTCCATCCCAACACACTCGAGAAACCAGCCAACCACCACACCCCTTGCTGTGCCTCCCTCGTCTCTGCACATTGTGTATGCACAGATCGTTGGGTCACCCCCTAGGCCCCATCTGCCACCTCCTCCTGCCTGTGTGTCTCTGTCTTCTTCGACGAAGGCGCCCCCGCCCCCTCACGCACCAACACCGCACCATTCGCACTCACACGGCCACCCGTCTGCTGCCGCTGGGGTCTCCTCTCCACCCCCGACCCCGACCCCAACCCCCCTCTGTAGTCAACCACCACCACCTCGTTGCTGCAGCTTTGGGTGTTCTTCTCTTGTGCCGTTGGTGTCTGTTGCTGGCTCCGTGTGCGGACGTACTCGGCCATCATGCGCACCTCCCGGCTCGCCCGCCTCGCACGCCTTTGCCTCGCCCGCTGCCGCACCACCTGCTGAGGCGGGGAGAGCGGGACAGCGGGGTAAAACGGCTGTTGCTGGTGCTGCTGCTGCTGTGGGCCCATTTCGCCAGCCATGAGGTTGACGGTCGTGCCGCTCGCCCCGCCCGGTTTGGCGGACGGCGGGGTGAGGAGCTTCCTGAAAAAATCGCCGGCCTGGTCGAGGAGAGTCCCGATGGGCTCCTGCTGGGGGTCGACGACTGTGGTGTCTCCTCGCGTCTTGAGCCACTGCAGGGCGAGGGAGTTGGCTGGCGAGTCGGCGTCGCGACGGAGGGCTGAGGTGGCCCGCTGACGAAGCTCGATGGCACGACCCACGTTGCCCAACAGCTCCTCAAACAACGCGTAACTGAACACACGGGAAGGGTGAGGGACCGGGCATGCCGTCAGACAGACAGACAGATGTGTGTGTGGGTCATATGCTTCTCTCCCTCTCTCTCTCGGTGGATGACCTTTCCCATATGCTTTTGAGTGATCGTTGCGCGGTGAGTGCCTCCTCGAACAGCTGCCGTGCCTTTGGTGGGTTGCGCATGGCCGCCTCGAACTGCGCCCACGCCAGGGTGCACAGCGCCTGGTCCACAGCACGGTAGGCCACCTGACGGGATGTCGCGAAACACTCACGCGCTCGCGTCGCGTTGCCCTGCCATCCATCCATCCATCCAGTCAACAACACACACACACACACAGAGAGAGAGAGAGAGAGAACGCCTTCATGTGTGAGCGCGGGAGAGGGGGGAGGCGCATAAGACAGACAGGGAGGCGTGCGTACCACGGCCCCCTCAAGCTTGCCGAGGCTGCACCAGAGCTGGGCTGACTTGGGTCCACGGGGGTTGCGTGAGAGGGCTGACGAGTAGAGGGATCGTGCCTTGTCGTTGTCCCCGAGTGAGGCCTCCAGCTCCCCCCACGACAGCCACAGCAGCTGGTTGGCCGGGATGGCCTCTACACCATGGGAGTACAGCATACGGGCACGGCCGTACTCACCCAGCTGCTCACACAACTTGGCCCACGACTATCGATCGACACAGACACAGACACAGACAGACACATGGGTTGGTTGGTTGCTGTCGAGGCGTCCTCCATGTTGCCTTGGTGCAATGCCTACATGCCACGCAGCCCCTCGTGTGGGGTCGAGCTTGAGCGCCCTGTCGAACAGCTGCTCTGCTCGAACAGGGTCGCCGTGACGGCTCTCAAGAGACCCCCATGTCTGTGTAAGTGCAGTTAAGTAGCCACAAGACCACAACAGCACTAATCTTCATGGTCACCCTCTCGTTCGGTGTGTCCCGCCCGGCTGGCCTGCCCTGCCTGGCCCACCTCACCTGGTAAAGCCATGAGTTATTGCTGAATGAGGGCATGCTTGTGGCCTGGCGCATGACGTCCCTCGCCTCATCGACGTGCCCGAGTGCCTCGTGGGCCAGAGCGAGGCCCTGCCAGAGTGCGATGTTGTCCGAGTCGACTCGTGTGCCCTCTGTGAACCACCGGACGGCCTCTGCCGGCTGCCCCCTCTCCCTCTCCAGCCGCCCCAGCATCTCATACGCACGACCGTGACGCGCATCGAGCTGCAACGCACCCAACAACACACGCCTGACACGCCACGCCACGCCACCAACACACAAGAGAGCAGAGGTGGGTTGAGGCGAGGTGAGGCTGCGAGCGGAGATGGGTCAGGTCATATGTGTGGGGATATCACACACCTTGCGCTGTCGTAGTTTCGGAGGTTGAATTGGAGGTTGGCCAACTCCAACACCGGCAAGGTGCTGGTATGTATACCACACGACATGCCATGCAGCACACCCGTCCAGCTGTTGCTCGCTCTCTCGCTGTCTTTAATTGTCACTTACGCTTTCGGGTCGATCTCGCTGGCCCGTTTGAACAGATCCACCGCCTTGCGGTAATCCTTGTCAAACTACACACACACACACACACAGATGCCAGCATCGGTCGGCACGGGCGACAAGAGCGTTCCGTGCATCGTGCCATACCCTCTGTGCGAATCGTCCGGCTGCCACGTGCACGTCGACACTCCTGCGGCAGTTCCGGACGCCCTCGTCCAGCAGCCAACGAGCACCCGTGATATTCTTCTGCACACAACACAACGCAACACAACGCAACGCAATACATCCATGTGTGGCTGCTGTCGGTCTGCCTCACCGACCGCAGTGATCTCATAGTTGGCGAGAATTAGCCACGCGCGAGGATCCAGCGGGTCCCGGCTGATGCAGTGCCGCAGTATCCTCACCCCCAAGGTAACTTTGTCCTTCCGCCGCTCCTTGATCAGCGCGTCAGCCCGCCAGTGCCACAGATCCAGGTTCATCGCCAGCGGCCTCGCAGGCGGCCCACCGGCACCCGGCCCAGGTATCATGATGGTGTACTTCTCGTTGAGGGCCGCCTCGACCTTCTGCGAAAGCTCCTCAAGCTCGGTGCTGGAGAGAGGGGCGGAGGGGGAGGGAGGGGGAATAGGCGGTGGGACGGGGTCTTGTCTGATGCTGGTCGTGGATGTGTCGTTGACTGGGTGATGGTATCGTGGTGGTGCGGGGGAGGGCGGGGAGGGCGGGGAGGGTGTGTGGTGGGGGGCAGCGGTGGCCTGGCTGTCCTTCAGACGCCGCACAGTTGCCTGAAAGGAAGGAAACACACATAGGAAAGGATTGGATTATGTGCATCTTTTCGTCTGTCTTGTTTGTTTTTCTGCTTACCTGGCTCCGCAGCACCGTGAGGCCGCCATGCTTCGCTCGCCGCCTCCTCTCCGCCCCTCCCACAGGGGCAACAAAACCCGTCATCTGATGGGTCCGTTTGACTGTCATGCTGACGTCCTTCGACTGACTCCCAACTCCGCAGCAGATGATCAAGGCGATGTGTGTCAGCAGCAGCAGCAGCAGCACCGGTTTGGCTTGCCATTCACCGCTGCTCATCTGTTGGAGCCGGCCACTGCTTCGCTCATTCGGATGAATGAGGACCAATGGCGGATGGACACGCAACCTGCCAGATCTCCGGTAACAAGACAGCGGATCCCGCCCCTTGGCAGCTGCGAGCTCAGCCACAGAGGCGATCTTGTGCCAGTGACGCTGTCTATCTTTGGCAGTATATCAGCGCCTTTGCACAACGCAGCCTCGACTGCTGAAGCGAAGACAGCTTGCGAATTTGGCGGATCTGGGCAGCAGTGCGTGCGCCGATAGCAGAGTGCATTCCGCGAGAGCGTCGTCAGCGAGTCACGATGGCGGCCGTCTGTTCCTCATCTGCCGGCGATGGTTGGGTGTCCCCTGGTCAGCGGCGATGAGGGCGTCGGGCTGGCCGTTCGGTGCGGTGATCTCATGCGGCCTCTGACGACCTGCACAGCAGCTATCGGCTTCTTCCTGTTCCTCTTGACGGCATTCTTACCACTGCTTCATACCATGACTGCAGCAGCTACTTCCAGGCATCATCATCTGTCGCCTCCTGCGAGTGATGCGACCGACGGTAGGAGGCATCCTTCAGCGGCATTCCACCCAAGCAGGAGGAAGCACCCACGACGGCTGAGTGCCGATGCCGCCCTCGCCGCCTTTCTGTCATCGCGCAATGTGCCTCGAAGAGGCCATGCGCCCGCAATGGGTCGGCGGAAGGGCAAAGGTGTCGCACCGAGGGCGACGGGAGGCGGGGCGGAGGCGGCCGCGAGGGTGGCCGAGCGGGAGACAATCGGGGCGAGGGATGGCGACAGCGGCAACACACCTACCGTGGAGGTCAGTGAGTGAGGGAGTACAAGGAAGGCCCTCTCTCTGTTAGTTACATCTGCACATTGTCTGTCGTGCTCTCTGTGTGTGGTGTGAGTGCAGGTGGTGTTCCGCACTCCGCTGCGCCGTCGCGGTCCCCGAACATCCACGCCCTTCGAAGAGCTCACCGCCTCGTCGATGGAGCAGCGCATCGCAGACATCGCCCCTCCCACCACCACCACCACCCACAGCAGCGGGTTGAACGGCACACAGACAGAAGCCCAGCGGTGGGCCAACGGGCACAAGGATGGTGGGATTAAGCAGCAAAGTGCCGTTTTTGAGGCACGTGCCGTGGGCAGTGCTCGGGTGGTGGTTGAGAGGGGTGACGTGCGCGTGGAGAGGGAGAGATCCCTGACCACCCTGTGGCAGTCGCTGGACGCTGTGTCCACCCAGGGGACCGACAAACAGGCATTCAGCCTGGCGGTGAGGGGACACAGCCACTTAGGCAAGAAAAGATGCGTACCCACCTCTTCTATGTGGGCATGGCGTGTTTGTGTCCAGGTGACGTTTGCGCAGGCCTTCAAGGCTGCCCAGGACGAGGGCATCCTCCTGCAGCCCCCCATTCTGTCCCCTACCATACCCACGTCATCCCCTGCACCCGCCACCAACCAGTCATCGGCCGTCCCACTGGCGCTTGTGTCGCGGCTCGTGTGGGCGCTGGGCAGACTGTGGGAGAGCAACCAATCGCCACAGCTCCTTCAGGTCAGGTGGGAGTGAGAGGGTGTTGCGGGCAGACAGACAGACAGACAGACAGACAGACAAGCAACACACTGGACATGGGGTGTTGCCTTGTTTGTATGTGATGGTTTCGCAGGATTTGGAGGATTGGCTGCTGGGGTCGGAAGTAAATCTGCTGGCGTCGGGGAACCTGACACACCTGGGGCACCTGGCGCTCGGACTCAGAGACCTCAACGTACGTCTTGCGTCTATCCATCCACATGACACAGGCAGAGAGACAGACAGACGTGTGTTGGTCCGTGTGGGCTGCTCTGCTCCTTCAGTACGGAGGATCTCGGCTGTGGCGGGCGCTGAGCAAGACGATCGAGGGCCGCCTGTGGCAGGACGTCATCCGCTGCTCGTCACGGCACGACCCCAACCTCATCGGCGCTATAGCCAACCTTCTACGGGCCTTCTCTCTCACGCCAAGCGTCAAGAATAACCTTAACATCAAAGACCAACACGGTGGGTGCGAAAGGCATGCATGCCAGTGAATGCATGGCATGCAGTCGTGTGAATGATGCCTCGCGGGTTCATTTCATGTGTGTCCCAATCCATGGGTGGGTGCAGCTGTGTTGGTGCTGCTACTGGAGTCGTGTGAGATCCTCCTCTCCTCCCCCTCCCTCGTCGACTCCCTCCGCCCCTCCCAGCTGGCCCGTCTGCTCGACGCACTCTCTCTCCATTTCCTGGATTTCCCCTCGAACCCCCGCACTTCGCGTGCCGACGACGCCGCGTCACGGCGGGCGATGCTGCTGGAGGACGGTCAAGTGGGTGCCCTGGCCCTGGGGGTGATCGAGAGGGTTGTGGTGGCCTACTGTGGGGTGGAGGACCGGTGGTGCTCCTCCATGAGCGCCTTCTGGATGGCGCGGGGCATGGCGAGGATTGGGGTGCACTCGGCCAGGCTGCAGGAGAAGATCGCCAGGCTCGTCAGGAAGAGGTCAGTGAGAGACACAAGGAGGGAGGGGACGGGGGCAGCAGCACAGCACCATTGTCGACGGGAGTGTGTGCATATCGCAGGTTGCGTGGGGATGACCCGTTGGTGCCGCGCATCGTGGCCTTTGCAATGCACACCGCGCCGTCCGACAGGGAGCTCGTTGACGCGGATTTTTTGGAATCCCTCCTCAACGAAGGCACCAGCAGGGTACTACTACTAAACACAGACCCATCCACCCCACCCATGCCGGCCCGGCAAGCCACTCCATCCCTCAATGGGTATGGGTCGTGTGTTGCTGTGCAGGAAGTGAGCGGCATTCTGTACATCTACGCGCGCCGCGGTCTGGGTCGCGAGGAGGTGTATCTGGTGGGCATCCAGCGTCTGCTTCAGCTCGGTTTGCACCAGCTGAGCACCAAGGAGCTGTCACTCACCCTCTGGAGCCTCACACGCAGCACCGTCAGCCCCGCCAACCCCACCATACGCATGTTCCTCGCCGGTGCGCGGCACCACGTCATCGGCAGGTCAGTCAGTCCGTCGCAGGACGGACGGACAGCTGACCGACATACAGAGAGATGTGGTCCCTTTCTGTGTCAGGATGAGCATGGGCCCGGCGAGTGACCTGACTCTGAGTCTGTGGGCGTTGTGCAAGCTCAACAGCCTGCCCCCTGACGACCTCACCCTCGCACTGGGCGCCGTGCTGCAGCGGCCCGACGCGCTCACGCTCTTCCACCTGACCCAGATGCTGACCGCCATCACACACCTGCACACCCACACGCAGGGGCCAGATGATGATGATACCGGCGGGGAGATCGCGGCGCTGACTGCAGGGGTGTGGGCGATGGTGGGGGAGAAGCTGGCCAAGGGACTGGAGGAGGCAGGGGTGGCAAGCGATGTGTCGACGCTCATATGGGTCGCCGCATCGAGCGGTGAGCGAAGGGGTGGCGGAGAGCGCCCAGTTCGATAGATACATTGATGTGAGGCTGTGCATGTGGATGGATGTGTCTGTGTAGACTATCGCAACGAGACGGTTCTGGCCATGTTGAGGGCTGCATTCATCCGGCAGATCGACGACACATCCCCGAGGGAGATGGCACTCGCAGTGTGGGGCCTGGAGAGGCTGGGCCTCGCCGACCTTGAGGTGTGCAGCGCCGTGCAGCAATCGCTGGCTGACGAGGAGAGGTCAGCAAGCTACACGCCACGCCCAATCAAGACACACAGACGTATTAATTCCATTGTTTCTTCTTTCTGTGTCTCCATCCGTCCAACCATTCATTATCTATCTATCAGCGTCGAGATGTTCCCGGCCGGCTCGGTGGCGCTGCTCTTCAGCTCTCTCCTCCTCATTCGGTCATGCCCCTCGTCGCTCCTCTCCATGCTCGCCAGACAGACACGCAAACACCTCATGGAATTCGACGAAAAGGTCAAGATGGCCAAGACACAAACACAAACACATTCTCTCTCATACACACACTAATCTGCGTATGTGTGTGGTGTCATCCGTCGATCAGGATCTGGCTCAGCTGGCGTGGAGCATGGCCGAGCACGCGCAGCGGTCCGGCGGTGGTGGGTCGTGGCGCGACCCCCTCCTGCTCACCACATTCGCTGAGGCGCTCGTCCCCAGCCTGCCGGCGGCCAGTGACCATGACCACCCCGACGCATCAGCAGAGGCCGCCAAACGGCTGGAGAGCTTCACATCAAGGGGGCTGTGCCTCCTGGTGAGTGAGAAGGAGAGATGAAGCGTTGAGAGGGGGAGAAATCCATTTTCTCTCTATGTATGTATGGATGTATGTGGTCAGATGTCGGCGTTTCCCCGTGCGGGTGTGGGTGTGCCGCTGCCCCTCATGTTGGCGGCCAGGCGGCTGCTCATACAGAAGGCACACACATGGCCATGGTATGGTGAGGGAGGGAGCCGCAGAGTCGAGAGCGGCCGGAGGGAGACGCGGGCGCATGTATGTGTTGTTCATGTGGATGCAGGCGTGACGTGAGTCTGATGGTGTGGTCGGTGGCCAAGATGGGCCGGGCCAACAGGGAGGTCTGCGAGGCCGTCGGCCAGGCTGCCATGCAACACGGTCAGTGCAGTGAGTGATAGACACGAGAGCCAACACGCCGGGGACATCCGTCCGTCCATCCATCCATCAATGTCTGTCTGTCTGTCTGTCTGTCTGTGTCCAGGATTGGGCACTCTGCACGACGTTCAGCTCGGCCATCTCGCCCTGGCGCTTGGCGTGGCAGCGCGGAAGGACAAGAGCCCACCCAATGGCGACCAATGGCAGCATGGCGCATCACTGCTGACAGCCATCGCTGACGAGATGCTCTTACGGCTGGACCGAGCCGACGCCCCCGCATCCATCGCTTTGCGGATCCCATCATCACCCAACACCAGCACCCTCGCACACTATTACATCAGCAACGGGACACACGACGAGGGTCGATCTGACACGATTCGGCTGGAGAACGTGGCTGTGTTGCTGTGGGCGATGGCGCAGCAGGGTGTGAGGCATGAACGGTTCCTGCGTGTGGCTGCGGATGCGACCAAGGCGCTGCTCAAAGAGGGGCTGGACGCAGCCAGAGCAGCGGACGGGGAGGGCCAGAGGGGGGAGGGGGAGGAAGACAATGCCGTGAGGGATGAGGGTAGGGGTGGTGGTCCTACGCTGCTGCTGCCGCCGCGTGACGTCAACCGTCTCATCCAGGGTTTTGACGCCCTCGACTACCGAGATGAAGACCTGTACAGGTGAGGATCGGACACAAAGATGCAGACACACACACACATACAGGAACACACACAGACACCTCCAATTTTCTCTGCATGCCATCCATCAAATGCAGAGTTTTAGGTGACTCGTTGGTGTGTCTGTTCCACATGTTCCCGATGAAGCTGCTGCGGTCGTCCATCGCCACACTCAAGAGGCGAGTGGGCGACCAGCCCGACAGCGACCACCAGCCCGGCGCCGATACAGAAGTACTTGGCCGCGCCCAAAGGGCCGGCGAGGAAGGCCTAGCCGATAGATAGACATGTCTGCGCGAAGACGGCCTATGTGAACGAACTATGAGTCACTTGCTTCAATCGAGGGCAAAGTATGTCTGGGAGGCATGGATTCATGAGCCGGTCAGCAGAGCACAGCCAGTCCGGCCCGTGAGGGTCTGCAGGATCCCAAGCTCCTCGAGTATGAGGCCGTTGTTGGCTGGGCGGTTGGCAGTCTTGAGCGCCAGCTTCCCCTGCGCTGAACGCCGTGATCTCGTTCACGATGCAGTCCTTGCCCCTGCCCAGCCGCCCCGTGCAGTGGAACTTGGGCGCGGTGATGTGGTGGTCGTCAAAACTAATCACGTACTTAGATGTCCATTGCTGCTGCCACTTTGCAATGGATTTCACATGCGAGCTTTCATGGCGAGCCCCAGCGTCTCGACGCATGTTGCGTGTCGGATAAATAGCGTGCTCAAGTTGCTCGTAGAGTAGTTGATGACCAAGCAGATGGAGTCAGAGTCTTTTCTCTTTGGAAAGACCCAGTGTGTAACGCACTGCAAGGCTATGGCGTTGGGCCCAGAATAGCAGGCTCCGTTTCACGAAGCTACCTAGCCCCAGACGGAATTTTCGTGGGTCAGACGGTTTTCGGTGGGCTCTGCTGCTCGTTTGACGTAGCAGCCTAAGCTCGGGCTTGAGTGCCCTTCGACACCCCCTCTCACTCAAGACCCTCTACGAAGCCTAGAGTGAAGCCATCTGCCAGATCTACATCTGCTCTGCCTCCCTCATGTATCCATATCGGATTCCTCATCAGATTCCACATCCATCCTTGTGCCCCTCGGTAAGAGGAAGTCTTGCGTGGCGTGTGACGGGTTGCTGAACAGCTTCTCTGTCACTGGTGTGTGCTTGCCTGCAGGCAGGTTCTTGGTGAGCACATCTGCCACGTTCTCAGCGGATGGGATCCAACCAACCTCCACCTCGCCCGCCTCGACCTTCTCACG